TACAAACCATTTGGTATATATGTCTTCTAAAAGAATATATAATGGAAATTACGGTCGAACAGATCCAAATTAATAACTAAACCACTTAAAATTATGTTGAGGATGGCAAAATAAAATTAAATCTAAATAAGATATTGATCTCTTGTTTAAAAAAAAAAAAAAGTTTAAAATATACCTTTTTTCTAGTACAGGCCGTCTAAACTCCTTAAAAACAAATAAGAGGGAAATTTTGTAAAGTATCATAACTTGAGCGATGAAATTAATTTTTAAAAACTAAGGAATAACTAAAAAGAAAAAAACACCTCAAGTATTTATTTAGCCTTTAATTATTATTTTGTTAACCCAATACATCTCAAAAACTCAACCAAACATCACAATTAGTTTCATTTTTATGTATTTTATATTTTGAAAGAAATTTTGAAATATTAGTCCATTTTTAAAATTAGACCTAAAGAAAGCAAATGAATTATGATTATTTTTTGAAATGTAGAAAACAAAATACAAAATTAGTTAACAAATAGACTCTAATTAAGGGCCAGAGATATAGAAAAATCTAATTATACATATCTAGCTAACTCTATGCATTTAGCTTCTATGTTTTAATCAGCCTAAATTTTCATGATCTATATTTAAACTTTCTTTTAATTCTTGAAATAATTATTTGCTTTCAATATAATTGAAAATTGCAAAMTATATTCAAATATATCATCAAAACAARRTATCTATCTACACTGTAGTTAATTCATTCTAAATAATATATTAAATGCTTGTTAATATTAAAAACGAATTAATTAACTTGAACTTTACTTTAATTTAATTGATAATGAGTGTTAATTAAAAGTTGTTGACATGGCAACCATAACTTGATCACATTAGAATCCCATCAATTCCTTATTATATCATGTATATATAATAACAGAAGAGACCACACTAGAATAATAGATTAAATTATCATATTAAAATATAATCTTCTTGATTTATGTAGCTCTAGCTACATTTTGATTTGTATCATTCTTTTTGTAACGAAGAAAATGTAGCAATAATTAAGTACGGCATTAAAAATCTTGTCGTAGTCTAATCATATGAATGTTTTAAAAAATCAGACTTGCAATTTCATTAGTAATTACTCATCTTAGAATCATATTTGAATTCTTAAACAAATTTAAAAAACAAAAATTAAATTTTGACAACTACGTTTTTCTGTCTTTTTTCAAAATTCAATCGCCCTAAATTTTAAATTTTTTTATAAAAACTATATAACATAAAACAAAAGAACAAATAGGCTGAAAGTAATATATAAGTTTAATATTAAAAAATAAAAAATAAAAAAGAAATTGTTATCAAACTACGCACCCATACAATTTCGTTATCAAGTTTTTCACATCTSTTTGAAAACATATTTTAATTTTGGCCAAATTTCGAAAACAAAAACTATTTTGTTTTAGTTTTCAAATTTTGGCCCTAAATTTTGAAAATGTTTATAAAATGAATATGATAAAACAAAGGAATATAGAGGTCCAAACTAATATTTCTAAGCTCCATTTTGAAAAGAAAAACGAAAAACAAAATAGTCATGAAACAATCGCCTAAAATACCTTTGATTAATTTTGAATGGCAATTATTAGAATCTACTTTTCATTCATACACTTGCCCTAATGCATAAATTATTGGGATTAGTACATAGATGGTCTGAGAYCTAATTACATAAAAGGATTGAAAGTTAAAAAATTTACACTTTTGTCTAACATAATTTCCAAAATAGATGGTACTCATAATAGAAATTACTAATATATCCATCTCAATATTAAATCATTAATAAAATATGAAATTGGTTAATATTTATTAAAATATACCAAAATCCCTAAAATTAAGCTAATTGAGATTTTTACAACCCACGAATTTGGTAACCCACTATTTTTAGAAACCCATTTTTCGTAACCACTTCATCTCCCTYCTCACCGCTTCGACTGAAACCCAAGGTTCGCATCTCCGACGGTTGCTTCAGAAAACTTCTCATCTTCAAGCTTCCAATCTCCATTCTTTCAGAAGATTACTCYGGCGTCCTCCGTCGCATTTATATGGCAACATCGTCACCRGCTACGTCTCCGTCGCATTTATAGGGCAACATCTTCCTTTTTTATTGTCACTGGCTACTTCTTCGTCACCGGCTACGTACCCAAATTTCTCATCTCTGGCGGCCTCCGTCGCATTTATAGGGCAACATCGTTTCAATTTTGTACAGAATCGAGGTATATATTTCTTATTGTATATGCTCAATTTAGGTTTCT